CTAGATGGTGGCAATGATGAGATTTTTTTTTAAAGAGGATAAAGATGATGGAGAGATAAAGTAGGGGTACAGCAAAGAATACACACATGACTTATACTGCTTCTAATAAAAAAAAGATAGAAAATTAACACGTTGCACATTCATTTAACATTTTATGCTAATTAGGTTTGTTTAGCGGAAATTAGCTTTAAGCCAATCTCAAATTTATGAACATGTTCATTTGAATGTGATTGTACAAGGGAGTAGCATTAACGTAACTCATCACCTCATTTAATATATAATTTCCTTTAAAAAAAATCCCAGTGGAAGAAAGTTTCATGATATGATAAAGGCTCATAAAAATAATGAAGAATCTACTTCAGTGACTCCATTTCGCACCAATATGGGTGTTCCCCCTTTCTCAGTGCAGATAGTCCTCTCTCTGTACCTTCTCATCCGGTGTGAGTCTTATCCGTGTTCTTTCATAAATCCTCCATAAACAATTGACACAATGTGCCAGAGGCCTTCCTTAGCTCTTCCTACAAATTGTTTATCACTTGGCCTTCCCTCTTCAGATCTTTGGATTTGGAATTCACGATGATTTGGACAGGAAATAGGCCAGATTTTACCTTTGTGCTTTTTTTTTTATAAAAAGGTTTCCTAAGTAAATCAATAATGTAAAAATCTGACAGACTAATGAGTATCTAAGAGAGCAAACTATCACTGAGAAAATTATGCTAGAATGACCTTCAAAAACCTGTTCAAAGTCCAGAAACTATTATACAACCAAACCTTGACACTATGTGCTATACTCTATATATGATATGCTAAGTACAATTAATGCTTATCTGTTAAGGACTGAGTACACCCTGTTATCCCCTCGTTTCTATGACTGCATGTACTTGAAAGTAATAAAGCTGTATTTCTGAAATTCAGACATTTTATTAATTTAGTTTGGCCTTTTCTAACCAATTCATCTGAATTAGTGAAAGTTTATTATATTCCCCACAATCTATTCCATTTTCCTAGGTTTATGCTTAGAAGAGTATTACCTGAAAAAAATTATAAAGAAATCTCACTAAAATCATTACTCTATTTCAATCAAGCTTTTTTTTTTTCATTTTAGTGTTATTTTCTTTAGTTATATTGACACTGCTAAACATATTCTTCTTTTCATCTCTACTTTTCAATATGTGCTGAAGAAATATAAGATGCACATGGACCGAAACACAGGAATAGTTGAAATGATTATGGAAAAGCTTCAGGATGAGGATGAGGGATCATATACGTTCCAGATCCAAGATGGGAAAGCAACCAACCAATCTACTCTCGTTCTCATTGGGGATGGTAAGAATTTCACTATATCTTTATTTGCCCTCAGGTTTTCCTACTTTTCTCATAAAAAATATCCCACAATACAAAGGCAACCAGTCACATGTCGTTAGAAGTAATGGGGATGAAATTCTTTGTTCTAAGAAATGGCTCTCTGGGACAGGGGAGAGAGAGGAATAAAAGAAGAAATTTAGGCAATGTAAAAGCAAAATATAGCAGTAAAAATCTATTTAAAAAAAAGAAGTAAGAGGGATGATTTCTCAGCTTTACATATTCACTATATGAGTGTCCACTCATGCTTTCCATAGGAATACAAGGCAAACAGGACTCTAAAGAGGTCATTAAATCAATATTTCTTCCTCTAGGCAAGAATGCACTTAAATTATCACAATAAAAATAGTAGCCTATTCCTAGAATTGCCAGAGGACATTGTTATGTATAACAACCTCCCTTGGTAAAAGAGTGCAAGTGTTTTCCAACTAAACCTTGACATTTCCACCATATTGCAACTGGTATTTATTGCAAACAAACTAAATTGAGAGAATTTAAAATTCTCTACATAGTGATATATCTGTCTGAAGAGGTTGTAAGTTCTCCCCTTCTTGGAAGTCTTTAGGCAGAGGCTCTACAACCATTTGTCACGTGTGTTATAGGTGGTTTCTTAAGGGTTGGAGTGGATAGCTACTAACGTCTCTTCTAACACTTGAATTCTGTGATTCTGTGATATGCTTCAATCCTTCAAAGAATATGGAATTCCATTAACATGGACACATCCCTGATGTTGATCATGACTATTCCACACATGAGTACAAAGTCTCATATGTTGCAGGAACCAGAAAAATTCATCACTGGATGGCCATTCTTCTAGTATTGAGCCTCTTGAATGTAGCCAAGTTAACAAATAGAACATGGAAGCCTTTCCACACTGATTGAAACTGCCCAAGTTTAGGCTCTGAGAACCCAGTGTCACTTAAAAACAATGATAAGGCAAACATTGGGGAAGCCATGTTGATATCAATGCAAACTGTGGCATATATGAAATACATTCATAAAAATTGCATCTAGATAGTGATAATCCAGCTAATGTAAGCAAGTATGGAAAATACAAATCTTTAGAATGGAACATTTGCATTAGACAATGAAAGGTGGGAACATCAAGTATCAGTAACTGCAATCTCCACATCTTGTGTGCTCAATTTTATCTCATAGTCTTCTTTATATTTTGTTCCTAGTTTATAAAAAACTTCAGAAAGAAGCTGAATTCCAGAGGCAAGAATGGATCAGGAAACAAGGTAAAAGTAGAGAGTAGGAAAAGAAGTACCATCTTTTGAATTCTAAGTAGATATGGACATAGATTTTTCTAGAATGATTTAAAATACAAACCATTTTTATACAAGTAGTGTCAAATAAATATTATAGTCTAGGATATACATTTGAAAAAAATCTATTTGGAATATTTTTAAATGAAGAAAAATAACATTTAAAAATCTAATTCAATATTGTCACCTTGTGAAGAAAATGAAATTTAATTTTGCTCTTGTGATGAATATGGTCATGGCCGATATCGTTTTTACAGGTCCTCATTTTGCTGAACATCTCAGCTGGGAAGTGACTGGTGAATGCAACGTACTGTTGAAATGCAAGGTAAGAAACATCTGCATTTTTGAACATGGTGCAGAGGAATCAAACATAAAGACAGAAAATGAAAAATTAGATCAATATGTTCATCTCTTCAAGATGAAACCAATGTGATGGAATATATATGTATATGTCATTCAACAGTTTATACATATACATAGATGTGTTTATATCTATGTATATGTATAAATTATTGAATGACATTTAAGCTCTTAAGTAATGTGAAATGCTTCAAAAAAAAATCACATAAAGCTGTCAAGAGAAAAAAACACTCGTTGTTTTCCCCTAACTTTAGTTATACCTGGGTCATTCATTTTCGGTCTCTGGGGGTCTTATATTATCTTTGTTTTAGGCTGTGTCTACAGGCTTAGCTGTAGAACTATTCTGGAATAGTCTCTGCTACAATTTGCAGTTAAATATGTCAGTTGTGGTCAGCCTAATGATGACCTTCTATGCCTCTGAGTGTCTGCCAGTCAAGCCACTGGCACAGGAGGGATGGCTCTGGAACAGCTGACCTGATGTGCCTACACACAAATAGTGAACAGTTTTGCAATTAGGCTGCTGAGTATTGTTGCTTTGGTAGGTAGGTACATTAGCTAACCTATTGTAAAAAAATAAATAACATTGCCTATCGTCTCATAAAAATAAATAGGTTTGCAGATAAATGAGATATAGTAATTAAACATGTTCTACCAAATATTCATTTAACATCTACTATGTGCAGAATTTTGTGCTGAGGAGGGGGGAGGAGCAGAGGTTAGTTCTGAATAGCAACTATGACATAGATAAATAGTATTTTGCACCATAAATAGTAGAATTCAAATCTATGAATACTATTAATTAATAAACACTTTTTTTTTACTATGAGGCTTTTCTTTTTGTCAGTGATATCTTTAGGGGTATACACTTAGCAGTGAAATCTCTGGGTAAAAAAGTGTGGATTTGTTAGCCACTTTATTTGCATAATTCCAAACTGTTTTCCAGAATGAGTGTACTAATTTACAGCTCCACCGACAATGCATTAGTATGCCTGTCTTTCCATAACTCCTCCAACATTGACCACTCTTATCTTTTGTCATCTTTGCTAGGTGGCCAATATTAAGAAGGAAACACTTATCGTATGGTACAAAGATGAGAGGGAGATAACAGTGGATGAAAAGCATGACTTTAAGGATGGTATATGTACTCTGCTTATAACACAGGTAGGTAATTCTCACAAATATACAACTTAACCTGTTAAATATGGTTTTGTTTTGGTTTTTTTTGGCTAGGCAATGGGGTTAAGTAACTTGCCCAGGGTCACACAGCTAGTAAGTGTTATGTGTTTGAGGCTGGATTTGAACTCAGGTCCTTCTGACTCCAGGGCTGGTGCTCTGTCCACTGCACCACCTAGATGCCCCCTAAATATGGTTTTTAGGAAAATACCAATTTCCTCAGAATAGGCTCTCTCCGGGGGAGGGGGGGTGATAGAAGGGAGGGCAGATGGGGGGAGGGGGTAATCAGAAGCAAACACTTCTGAGGAGGGACAGGGT